CTCGGAAACCCAAGGAGGGGTTGCTATGAGTCGGGGACGACTCCACGGCAAATAACAAGGAACAACAACAACAAATGGGAAGGGAGCTCTGGTAGTGTAGTGCCTAAGGCACCTGACTGCTAACCAGAAGGCTAGCGGTTCAAACCCACCAACCACTCCTCGGAAGGAAGGTTGGGCAATCTACTTCCATAGTGATACCGCCTCAGAAACCCAAGGAGGGGTTGCTATGAGTTGAGTCCAACTCAAGGGCAGTGAGTTTGTTTATTTTTTACAAATGGGAAAGAAAGGACAATGGTTTCAATAACTCCCTCTGCCAGCTGTCTTTATTCCTGCCTTCCTCACCAGTTTCGCTAACACACTGAGCTCTTTGCTGGTCACCTTAGTATGCTATAATATGGACAAAGGGAAAAGGTAGTTATTTGTGCAGATGAAGCATAAGTAATAAGGAAGTAAAAGGAAGATTTGAAGATAATAAAAATTGCTCATAAATTAACTGCAAGCCTTGCAAAGGGGGTGCAGAGTAGAAAAGTGATTCAAATTCTTAGCAGCATGTCCAGAATTCAGTACTCTCAAGCAGCCTGCTCTTTCCCCTGCTCCTACTCTCCCAAAGTCCATGAATGATGATGATAGGAGAAAGTTCAATGTGAACAAGTAACTATACTATTCCAGTGTTATGGGATAAATTGTGAATGGACTAAGTACTGTTATTACCATGGTGGGAGATTAAAAATGCTTAGTATATCAATAAGAAAGATAACTATGGCATACTTAAGCTAGTGTATGATCTCTAAGAAGTTACCTGTATAATGTAGCATAATTAGCTTTCTTATGTGAACCTCAATGTCAAGCAAAGCTGATTTAATATGCTTTTAAATATCTTGATCTTTCTGTTACTTCAGTGACCTCCAGGAGGGCACATTTGTGTGGTGAGTTTGATAATAAGTATTCTGAAGTTTGTTTATTCAAAGTTCTAGAGATAGACCACTGGGTTCATCATTTACTCTTGAAGATTATAGTAGATTTTTAAGACCTGTTGTTTCTTGCAAAACCAGAAAAAGTATAGTTAGAATTTTCATTATTGCATATTGGTATTTTACTTTGGAATTAGAATGTCAAGAAAACAAAACGAGTCTGTAGGCTCTTCAAAATGCTTTCTCATGATAAAACGTTGAAATTCCTGGTACTTAAATGTTCTCAGGAATTTGAATTACAAGTTATTATTTTTGTTAATTCAGTTTTTATTTTGATTTAGAAAATTCAGTTATACCATACATAAGTAGAAATTAGAACTCACAAACACAGTTATATCATCTACGGACATAAAAAGGATAAGACATTTATCTGGCAGTACTTGACAGATATGTGAGAGAATAGTTGGATATACCAATATGTAATAAGTGATATTTTCTACATTACATATATGAAGGTTCATGGTTACGAAAATATTCATTTAGAGACACAATATAGTGTGGTAGCTTAAATAAAGGAGGGGAAGTCACACAGAATGAGTTTCAATCCTAGCTCTTAAACTTAGTAGTTATGCAAGCTGCTTCACCCTTCTGAGTCTCAGTTTTCTCTTTTGTAAAAAGGAGATTAAATACATGGACAATGTCCAACACATAGTAAGCACTCAACAAAGGACAGCTATTAGTAGAATTAAAGTGATTAAATGATCAGTTAGGACACACATTTCAATAAAAAATTTTATATACTGTTACAAATAAAAGAACTTGGTTGGGTATTATTAAGTGTAGTTATTTTTATTTTCTGAATCATATGGTTCTAAGATCTGATCAAGAGTCACCTGGGGAACAGTTCCAGGGTCCTACTCTAGGCCTCAATCAAAAAACCTCACTGCCATTGAGTCAATTTTGACTCATAGCGACCCCTCCTTGGGTTTCCAAGGCAGTATTACTACAGAAATAGATTGCCCAACCTTCCTTTCAAGGAGTGGCTGGTGGGTTTGAACCACCAGACTTCTGGTTAGCAGTCAAATGCCTTAGGCACTATGCCACCAGAGGCCTAATGAGTCAAAATTTCTGGAGGACCAGTAATCAATATTTTAAAATCTCATCTGATCCCAAAGTCTATTCAGCTTAGGGACCTATAGAAGTAGAGCATTTATGGGCATGGTGTACTTCGTGAACCCACTGAGGGGTGGCCATGAGAAAGGAAAGGTTACCAATGAGATTTTATCTGTGAAGTTTTGTAAACTGTAAAACTCTATAAATGATGGATAGCATTATGCCAAGCAGCATAATCATGGACTCCTGATGCTGGAGAGAGCTTAGGAAACTCTCAGTGAGTTACACAATGGTTAATGTAACGCATTTCAAAGCCAGACAGCAAAGCAAGTAAAATATATACAGTGTTATGTAAGTGCCAAGTGGGTGTTGGAAAGATAAAATATGAGAGCTTGGGAGGGGAGATTACTGTGGGCTGGGAGGGTCAGGAAACACTTTATGGACAAGATAAGAATTGAGCTGGGTCAACCCACTGTTGTCGAGTCCATTCCAACACACAGTGACCCTATAGGACACAGTAGAACTGTCCCGTAGGATTTCCAAGGCGGTCAATCTTTATGGAAGAAGACTGCCATATCTTTTTCCTGTGGAGTAGCTGGTGAGTTTGAACTGCAAACCTTTTGGTTAGCATCTGAGCACTTTTATCAGGGGTCCTTGAAAGATGATTAAGATTCATATTAGTAATATGAAGGTAGATCCGAACAAAAATGCAGAGCGAAGGATGGACAAGACAGGATTGTCAGAGTGTGAATTAGACCTGTCAGGGTGGAGCAGTGTGGTGAAGGGAGTGCATGTTGGTTGGGAAAAACTTGTGGAGAGCCTTGAATCCTAAGCTAAGGAGGTGAGACTATCATGTAAGCAGAGGGAATCCAGTGAAGGTTACTGAGTAGAGGAATGATAAACACTGGAAGGCAAGAAACTAAAAGCAGTGGCCTTAAATTCATACTGCCTGTGGTGAGAACCTAAAACAGTGTCTTCTAGGTACAAGAGGATAAAGGTCTGAACAAGTAGGACTGAAGAAAACCAGATGATATAATCATGACAGGAGGAACTGACAGTTATTGGGATCTTTGTGGGGATCAAAGAAAAGGATCCTCTAAGTCTGAGGGCCTGAGAGTATGATGACACCATTGACAGAAACAAGAGGCCTGGCTAGAAGAAAAGGAGGTTGGTTTCAGACAGATGGTAGTATTGTTACAGTGCTCTCTAAGGAAACTGTACACAACTCACCTTCATGTCCTCAAAATTGGTTATCCCCATCTGAGGGAGGTTAGAGCAGTTTACGTGGATGAGTTTCTGGCCACTGATGAAATTTGTGGTGAAACACCCCTGTCAGTATAATAAGAACATCACTCGAGAGATGTACTGCAAATAGCACGGAGGAAAAAAGAAAGAGAGGAAAGAAATCATGTTTGTCTCCAGTTCTACAATAAGAAAGTTTTTATTTTCTACCCTAATAATACATTTTTTCCATCTAAACTCCTTATTAAATATCACACTGCTTGTTTAGTTCTTTAACTGTATTTGGAAAATTTAGTTCACTATATATAAGTAGAAATTAGAGCTCACAAACACAGTTATATACTCTATGAACATAAAAAAAAACAAGACATTTACCTGGGAGTACTTCATAGCTGTATGAGGGCACAGCTGGATATACCAGTATGTAATAAGTAGTCTTTCCCATAGTACATACATGGAGGTTTATGTAAACTTTTTTGACATCCTATAACTAATGCAGGAGCTCTGGTAGCATAGTGCCTAAAGCACTTGACTGCAAACCAGAAGGCTGGTGGTTCAAACACGCCAGCCACTCCTCAGAAGGAAGGTTGGGCAATCTACTTCTGTAGTGATACTACCTCGGCAACCCAAGGAGGGGTCTCTATAAGTCTGGGCCGACTCAATGGCACATAAAAACAACATACCTAATGCTTCTTCATGCTTTAATTAAAGTAGAGGGGTACAGAAGATTTCAATTATTGTGTTGTTTTATTGTGCCTAAAAACAAGAGTTGCCATCAGTGAAACAGACTACCCAGTATTTTAAATAAAACAATTTTTGGTTAATTGGCTAATTAAATAGTACTCTTAGGTACTTGTCATACATATGACATATTTGAGGCAGACACTTTAAATAGTATAAGTTCAAAGTAAGGGAGCTGCCACTAAATCAACTTGACAGAATACCAAAAAGCCTACCTTGAACAAAACCCACCAAGAATCCAGTTTTCTATGAAAAGAAACCTGTACAAGTTTCTTAGTCTTTGAGCATTGCAAAGAAAAGTATGATCACTGGAACAAATATGAAAACAAACAAACATGATGTCATCCTCTCCTTCTAAAATAAGACTATGAATTAGTGGGAAGGCAAAAATTAAAATCTAGAGTTACTTCTACCACAGTCCAGAACTTTTTTACACTCCTAGTGAAGAGGTAAGGAGCTCCGGTAGCTTAGTGCCTAAGGCACTTGACTGCTAACCCAAGGCTGGTGATTCAAACCCACCAGCCACTCCTCGGAAGGAAGGGTGGGCAATATACTTCCATAGTGATACTGCCTCAGAAACCCAAGGAGGGGTCGCTATGAGTTGGGTCCGACTTGACGGCACATAACAACAATAATAACAACAGTGAAGAGGTAAGAGCTCAGGAAAGCTAGAGGATTAGGTAGAAAAGGATGAGGGCATGTGATTTCAAAAAACGTTATTTTTGTGTACCTTATACTGAGGGAAGCCTAGTCGGCTAATCCACTCTGCAACTTCTTTTGGGCTCCATTTAAGATACTCAAATTGTAGCTTAATCTTTTGTTCTGGCTGGGTTTCTTTATCTTCCTTCACTTCTTCACATGAATCTACAACTTTCTTTTCACTAAAGGACTTTTCTAAGTCCATTTGAGACTCTAAGGGATATAAGTTTGCGTTTTCATTTAGCTTAAGTGATTCCTTAGAAAACTTACTGGTTTCTGTTAATTCTGCTTCACTTTCTCTGTGAAACACTAACAAAGAGTCTTTCTTTTCTTTTTCTGATAACTTTCTTGTTTGATACTTGGGGCGCTCTAGCTCATCAGCTTCTCCAGAATACTGAAACTTGATTGGCTTTGATACATCATCCCTGGAAGAGTCTACATGTGTCCCTCTTCTAAGCAGTGTTTTGGCTTCATCTGGTAACTCTAGATCTTTCTCCTCAGTTGACTTTCTTTGTGTCTCCTCTTGAACCTCTGGTGTGATCTCCTGTGGTAGCACTAACTCATTGTCTTTTGGTGGTGCTGGAATATTTTCCTCATTTGGCTTTCTTGTTGTCTCCTCCAGAACTTCTGGCTTGGTCTTTTCTAGTGGTGCTAGACCTGTTCCTTTAATTGGTTTTCTTGGTTTTTCCTCAGGAAACTCTGATTCGATCTGCTCTAGTGGCTCTGGGACTCTTTCCTTAGTGGAGTAGCTTTGTATATCTTCAATAGACTTTCTTGATTTCTGCTCTGAAAACTCAGGTGTTGTCTCCTCAGGTAGCTCTGTTCCTTGCTCCTCAGTTGACTTCCTTTGAGTCTCCTCTGGAACCTCTGGTTTAGTCTCTTCTGGAGGCTCTAGACTTGCCTCCTCAGGAGACCTTCTTGATGTATGCTCTGGAAACTCTGGGGCAGTCTGCTCAGGTGGCTCTGTCCCTTGATCCTCACTTGACTTTCTTTGGGTCTCTTCTGGTTTAATCTCTTCTGGAAGCTCTACACTTGCTTCCTCAGTAGACTTTATTGATGTCTCCTCTGGAAACTCTGGGGCACTCTGCTCAGGTGGCTCTGCCCATTGCTCCTCAGTTGGCTTTCTTCCTGTTTCCTCTAGAATCTCTGGCTTAGTTATCTCTGGTGGCTGCAAATCTATTTCTTCAACTAATTTTCTTGGTGTATCGCTGGGAAATTCTGGTTTTGTCTGCTCTGGAGGCTCCAGAGCTATCTCTTCATGTTGCTCTCTGAATGATTCTTCTGAAATCCCTGGCTTGGGCTCCTCTAGTAACTGTAATCTTGTCTCATTGAGTGTGGCCCCTAGAACTTCAGGCTTGGCTTTCTTTGGTAGCTCTAGATCTGTTTCCTTAACTGACTCAGTAAGTACATCGTCTTTAACACGTGACATGGTTTTCTCCTGTGGCTCTAGGTCTGGTTCCTCACACTTTTCATCCACAGGGACTTCCAAATCAATGAAGAGCTCTCCTCTCTCTCCGGATGTCTCTTGGGGAATCTCTGGCGGCTCTGTCTCACTGGATAGGTCTTCATCTGACTCCACAGAAATTTCTCCTTCAGGCGTCCTGGCTGGTTTTAGTTGTATATTCTCAGCATTCGCTGGCACCCCGTCGAAGTCGTCTTCCTCAGTTTCTGAGGTCTCCGGCTGTGGCTCTTGGTCAGTCTCTACGGGTAGTTGCGGGCCTGCCTCTGCAATGGTGTCTGTTGCGGCATCTTCTTCCATTTTAAGAAGTTCAGGCAGTTCACGCCTCTCAGAACTTGGGTCCTCATCTTCATCCTGCCCCGAATCGTAATCTTCTGGGACCTCCGCCATTACGCAACTTGAAGGACGCGCCCAGGCCTCTTAGCAACTCCAACTTCCGACAGCGTCTCTATGGATACCACGGCTTCCGGAAGTGTTATCCTTAATGTTCCCCAGGTTTTGTTTGTTCTTTCAAGCCCTGACTGAAAATTTGCCGTCAAAAGCACGCAATAACCCTCTTCATGTTCACGTCGCCAGCCTCTACTGAATAGCGCTCCTGCCACGGCTCCAAGGCCGGCGCACTCGGCCGCGGCCGCCGCAGCCTCTCCTTCCGGCCCGCGGGCTCGGCTCGGCTCTTCTCGGCGGCACGCCGCGGCCGGGATCTTTCGGCCTTCGGCTTGTTCCGGAGCTACTCACGGCTGGCCACGAAAACGCTGCCGGCGCGGGCTACAGATGTCGGACCCGCAGGCGGCTGAGGGGCCGGGCTTCTGGAGCCCGGCAGCCCGCAGAGGGTCAGCCAGCGGCATCCGGGATGGCGCGGGAGTGGAGGGGAGCCAGGCGGCCGCCTCAGGTACGCAAGGCCGGGCGTAGGCGGGTGGGTGCCACCCGGCCTCGGGGCCCGTCCCCTCTGCGTGAGCCTCGGTAGAGCTCTGCACGGGCTTCCGGGCGGAACCGACCCTCCTTCACAGCCCCTTAACTGCTGCCGGACTCCCGTGTGTCCTGGGGCTCGATTATTTGCCCCTGCCAGTGCCATCAACCGAGTCCTGGGCTTCGCTCGGGGTTATCGTCTACTCCTGTTTCGAAATGCTTTGGTTCCTGCTCTGTTTCTTTTCTCAAGTCAGCTCAGATGGCGGTGACAGGGCTGCTCTGCCCCTGGCTCCGCTTCAACCTCAGCCCGGGTTCGGATCCAATATCTGTACGCCGATCAGACCTAGACCGCAGACCTGAACCCCACTGGCCTCGCTGCCCCTCGCTTCTGGTTCCCCATCCCAGTTCCCAGCACTGGCCCCTGCCCCACCCTCTCTTTGCTGATCTCGGCTCCCATCCGTGTTGGCAGCCTCGCCCTCCTTGGTCCAGAACCCCACTTCGCTGTAGCCTCCCTGCACGTAGGAGCACCTCGCCTCGCCTGGGTCCTCTCCATCTCTTCGAGTGAGAGAGATGAAAGCAGAGGCGGAATAGATAGGCTCTGGGGTCTTTTGAATGGACATAGTAGCCTAAGCAAAGGCTGGAAGCAGAGGCTGAAAATAGGAACTTCTGCCACCTGCCTCGTCTTCCAGGACCCTCCTCCTTTTCGTGTTAGAAACACTGTTTCCATTTTTGCCCACGCGAGGAACTCTGTGTGGGCTACTTTCGTGTCCAAGTAGTAAAGGATCTATCTACCACACTTTTACTTTTCAGGCCTCTTATGATTGCCACATAGAATGAAATTAAAGGGATGGCTTTGAAATGCAAAAGGATGCCAAAGAGACCATTGATCTCATTAAGTTGTTGAATGCCGTCCAGTCGATTCTGACTCATAGCAACCTATAGAACAGAGCAGAGCTGCCCTAAGGTTTCCTAGGCTGTAATCTTTACCGGATATGGTGGCACAGTGGTTTAAGCGCTCTGCTGGTAGGTGGCTGGAATCCACCAGCTTCTGGGGTAGAAAAATGAGGCAGTCTGCTTCCCTAAAGATTACAGTCTTGGGAACCCTATGAGGCAGTGCTACTTGGTCCTGTAGGGTCGCTATGAATTGAAATCGACTCTAGCTCCATGGATGTGTTTTTAGTAATCTTTACTGGAACAGTTCACTAGGTCTTTTTGGTTAGAAGCCCAGCACTTAATCTTTGCACCACCAAGACTCTTCTCAATAGGTAGCAAATATAAATTCATTTCCCAGGTCTGAAATTAAAATAGACACCATAAACTACTGTGGGCAACAGTGTCTGGGTTGAATTCTAAGTCCTCAGTTTACTAGCTAAGTGACCTTGGGCAAGTCACTTAACTTCTCTGTGATTTAGTTTTCTTATCTGTAAAATGTAGATACTAATAATACTTGGTTCATAAGATTGTGGGATTACATGAGCCATTATGAATGAGGCACTTGCTATCTAGCCCATGTTGTTGTTTTTAGTTGCTTTTTTAAGTGATTCAAGGACCCTATGTGAGAGAGTAGAACTGCTCCATAGGGTTTTGGCTGTAATCCTAATGGAAGCAGATCACCAGGCCTTTTCTTCCAGCAGTACCAGTGGTGGGTTCAAACTTGCCCAAGGTACATATTATATGAGTGTTATCCATTACTTTGAGAATAAGTCTCTTTTTGCCCACCTCGCACCTGGACTCTGCCTCTGCTGCCAGAGGAGGTTTGGAGGTGTTCCTGAATGTCTGTTGTGGCTCTCTCTTTTTCCACTTGTATCCCAACTATTCCAACTATCTTCCGCCTCCTGAATGCTGCTCCACTCTCTCTCTCTCACCCACCCCACCCCGTGAATCACCCACTTCTTTCTCATGGCTTTACATTCTCTTTTTTAAAACATCTAACAATTTTTGTCTTTTTTTTCTTCTATATAATCTCTTTTGTGCTTTGTATTAAGTTAAAAAAATCAATGACATGTTTAACATATAGCAATAGAAATTCTGAGCATAATTTATAAATGCTTAAGCAAATAAATCCTCAGTAAATATGTAAAAGGTGCTCTGGTGGTGTACTGATTTGGCTGCTAGCCAAAAGGTGGGCAATTTGAATCCACCAGCTGCTCTGTGGAAGAAAAATGTGGCTGTTTGCTTCTGTACAAATTTACAGCTTTAGAAACCCTATGCGGTAGTTTTATTCTGTCTTAAAGGATAGAATTGGAATCAACTCAACATCAATGGGTTTGGTTTTTGGTTTAAAATAGGCAAGTCTTAAAACTACCTACCCTTACGTGTATCAATATTTATAAATTAGGAATGTTTTTACTTCCCATCTAGATCCTTGTGTTTTTGTTGCCTAACATTCCCAAACATTTTAGATATAAAAGTCTTGAGAACACTCTAGGAATATATTGGAGGATAGTGGGTTTGTCTCTGAGTGTTGTATTTTTTTCCTGATTTCTGACTAGTTTCTGCATTCTCTTCCTTCTAGCACAGTAGAAGAAATGCTTATGGTTATTTTCTTTGCTCTTGCCCTCAGAAAAGAAGGGCGATGATTGATTTCTTTTTATGCCGTGTTGTTGTTATTGTTAGCTGGTGTTGAGTCACTCTGACTCATAGTTATCTCGTGCACAATGGGATCGGACCATTGTGTTCCATAGGTTTTTATTGACTGATTTTCCAAAGTGGGGTGTTGTAGCCCAGAGAAAACTCTTCCTCTTGAGGTAGAATAGGTTGCTAATAAAATGATAGTAATGATGACTAACATGTATTGAGTGTTCATTGTGTGCCAGAGAGTGTGGAAAAAGATGTGCTTATATTCTCTCATTTAATCCTGTCAACAGTCATTTTTTAAATCCATTTTATAGTGCAGCAAATGATAGGTCAGAGAGGTTAAGTTACTGGTATAGGTTAGCTCTGGAGTTTTTACTGTCTTTATGAAATTATCACCTGTTATGATGAAATTTACTATAGTTTATTTTTATTGGCCAATTAATCAAGTATTGGTACTTGAGGTACTTTGCCTTCAAGGTGTTTTCAGTTTGGTGAAATGAAATGAGAGTAGCACAGAATAAAATCAATTCAAAACATTTTATAATTGGGTGCCTTTTATTGCAATTTTTTATGTACTTACCTCTCCCCCTCCCCCGAAATTGCTTGAGGGTAGGGGCAGAATCTATCTTATCTGGTTTTCATCTAGAGCCCTTGATGCTACCGTCACTGATTCTGTAAATACTTGCGAATTGCTGAGTTGGATTGTGAGGGAAAGTCCAACACAAGATTTGGAGGAGCATCAGCTGAATATGATGAATTAGGGTTGAGATAACCAAGAATGTTCCTTCGGTTAGAGCATTGGTTCTCAACTAGCAGCCGTTTTGCCCTTTCCCTACTCCCTACCCGGAAGGGGCCTTTGGGAATATCTGACATTTTTAACTGTTTCCACTAGCGGTGCAATTACTGAGTGCTTGACTGCTAACCAGAAGGCTGTGGTTCAAACCCAGGGTTTCTCAACAGTAACACTACCAATATTTGGGGCCAGATAATTCTTTGTTATAGAGGCTGTCCTCCCCACAATAGGAGGTGAGCAGGATAATTAGTGGCATCCATGGCCTACACAGACGATACCAAACCAAAACCAGGCGTCATAGGACTTCCTTGCACTTGACTGCTAACCAGAAGTTTGGGCAATCTACTTCTGTAGAGATACCGCCTCAGAAATCCAAAAAGGAGGAAAATCCAAGAAGGGGTCGCTATGAGTTGGAAACGACTTGCCGGCAGTGTTTTTTTTTTGTTGTTGTTGTTGTTGTTTTTGTTTTTTAAGGTGGCTCAGTGCCTAAGGCTAACCAGGAGATCAATAGTTCAAACCCATCAGCTGCTCTGTGGAAGGAAGATGAGGCAATTTACTTCTGTAAAGATTTATAGCCTAGGGAACCCAATGCAGGTCTCTATGAGTCAGAAACTAGTTAAGAGAGAGTTCTGGTAACTTACTGGCTAAGGCACTTGACTGCTAACCAGAAGGCTGGCGGTTCAAACCCACCAGCCACTCCTCGGAAGGAAGATGGGGCAATCTACTTCCATAGTGATACTGCCTCGGAAACCGAAGGAGGGGTCGCTATGAGTCGGGTCCGGCTCGATGGCACATAACAACAGCAACAACATTGAGTTAGGAAAGGAGAGCTGGTGGTATAGGGGTAAGGCATTTGGCTGCTAACCACAAGGTCGGTGGTTCAAACCCACCAGCTGCTTTGTGGGAGGAAGATGAAGCAATCTACTTCCATAAAGATTTACGGCCTTTGGAAACCTAATGGGGGTCACTGTGAGTCGGAATTCACTCAATGCAGAGGTTTTGGTTTTGATATCGTCTGTGTAGGCCATGGATGCCACTAATTATCCTGCTCACCTCCTATTATGGGGGCGATAGCCTCTATAACAAAGAATTATCTGACCCCAAATATTAGTAGTGTTACTGTTGAGAAACCCGGGGTTAGTGTTAACCTGGATTCCAAAGCAGGCTGGAAATTCTGCATTTGTTTTGGCCCAGGGTTGTGTAGGTTTGGGAGTAAACTAAACAGCACTGCTTCAGGTAAGGAATTTGTTTGATTGAATCTCTCTGCCAACTTCCTCTGGAAAATGATTCCATGAATAAGCACTAGAGTGAAGGAATAAATGCGTGAAGAATGAAAGTGAAAGATTTCTGTCACCCTCTCTCAGAAAACACCAAGAAGAAATGAGGTTAGTTATTTAGTTGTTATTGATAAAAGTTGTGATTTTTCAATGTACCTTATTTCTTCAAGGCAGGAATTTGTCGTTTTCTGGAATAACCAAAACTAGCTTTTTAAAAATTTTCTGTGCAGAGACTACCTTTTGAGGGTCTTCATGTTTGCTAGCTGAGGTTTTGATGAAAAGTGCTTATATTCTTCTGAACTAAGCTCTCTGTGCATTCTTTTTGTCTTATGAACT